GACGTTGGATACATTGTTTTAATTGATTGTATTGGTAATTAATTTCTATAAATAGACAACACCTCAACCTTTTGATATGGGACGGAGTGGCTTAGCGGTAGACAGCTAGACTGCTAACACGTAAGTCTCGAGTTCGAATCCGGGTTCACGTCAGTAGACCGTCCACCCAGTGAACTCTATATCCCCGGAGGCCGTCAGGTTCGAAAGGGAACTTTACTTACAAACCTTGGATTGGTATGTTAACAGAGATTCGCAATCAATTTTTAAAGTAGTTTTAATATAGCTCAATAAGTAGTTCACTTTTAAAAAGCCAGACGTATCAGGTTTAAATAGTCACATGAGTTTTTTAAAGTCAGTTGACATTTAAATAGAGAGATGATTCGTAAATAGGCGCACAAATCCCGTTTTAGAAGCTGGAGATTAGCAACCTTTTAGCTAGTTATCAGACCTCGCTGTCCGAACATTTTGGTCTCCACAATCATTTGACAGCTGAATCTCCCAGTGGCTACTGGTCACTGATTAGATCTATTTGTGGTTGATTGATAGGTCTCTAGTAATTAAGTACAGTAGGTCAGACCTCATAAGTAAGGTCATTGGAGCAGTAGTACTTTTGTTAAAATAAAAACAAATTAAATTTTAAAAAAATCCCTCGGGCCTAGAGTTTAGTAGGTCAGGGTGTTACATAGTTTCGTTTACTAAAAGTTAGCGATCATGTTTATGTATCGTTTGTTTGCGTAGGTCGGTGTTCTACTATATATTACTCTGGAGACGTGGCGTTTGTGTACTTTATTGTCAGAACAGTGCTAGTGGTTCTTTAAAGACCGTCGTTTTTTTTTTGTTTTCTTGAAAATGGCAGTAGAGTTTAGTATCTTCTAATTATAGCAGCGTCACATGATATCCACAGGAGCCCTTTACTCACAGAGACAGGAGCGGTGTCAAGTAGTTCTCCACTTCTGATTGGCTAGTTCCATGACAGTACTTTTCCCTTTGACCTACTGACCTAAAGACGGCGTACCTCTAAGCTGTACCTTTACGGGCGTCCAAAAATATGGCAACACTTTCAAATTACCCATAATCCCACTGACTGAGACCTTGTCAATAAACCATTACCAGTCCTCGATGATGGTGATTTCGCTTTGCCCTCATAAAATAAATGACATTTTCTTGGTCTCTAGGTACAATGGACGTGTTTGACATATATGGCGCAGTGATGAAAAAAATAAAGTTAATTACAGAATGTTCACAACTTTTTGTATTTAAAAAAATATAGATCTACACTACTTGATTTTGTTTTAGCGCAAGCTTTATGTTTTACACTTTAAGTAAATGAAGGTCGACATTTATTTTAATGAATATAATTTTTTGAAAGGTTTAATTATTTGTTATATAAAAATCGTTACAAAAATTAATTGGTTTGTTTGACGTTCATCAAGCCTGATTTGTTGTCATAACTGCTTGGCCTTAATTTAACAGAGTGAAAAAAAACTTTAAAATTTGAGATGAGCTGTTTAATCAATCTTGTTTGAGCAACCGGTCAAATCCTAAACAAAAAATGATACAGTTTGTCTTCATGTTAATGGCGAATCATGATGTTAATGTTCATGTAATGGTGTTAATCTTGTGATGTTAATGTTCATGTAATGGTGCTAATCTTGTGATGTTAATGTTCATGTAATGATGTTAATCTTGTGATGGTAATGTTACTATGAAATTGTTGATATTATAATGTTAACGTTTCTGTGACAATGTTGATATTGTGATGTTGATGTTTCACATATTTTGCTATGCATAGGCTACACGTATAAGTTTGACACAAACAAACTTTAGGCACATTTTGGATTTCAATCTTCCGTTTATCACACCCCCTTTCACAATCAACATCCTGACCACATTCAACCACTATACGATCCTCACCATCCCCACTACACCATCCTCACCATTCCCACTACACCAACCTCATCATCACTCTACACGCCATCACCACCTCACTACACCATCCTCATCATTCCCACGACACCAACCTCATCATCACGCTACACACCATCACCATCTCACTACACCATCCTCACCATTCCCACTACACCAACCTCATCATCACTCTACACCATCCTCACCATCCTCACCAACCCCACCACACCATCCTCACCATCCCTCTACACCATCCTCACCACCCCCTCTACACCATCCTCACCACCTCCCTACACTAACCTCACATCACCAGATCCAACAGCAACAACATTCCCTGCCAACTTTCCACCCCCCCCCCCCCCTGACTGACACAGCGACACCAGCTGTCAATGACAACACAGGCCAAAACTTCCCTCTAATTTAAAAATAACAACCCCTTTCCTCCGTACTTTTGTCGCGGTATCCGTCCTTCAAGCAAAGTGCAAGTCGAACCGAGTTTCTCACGCAGGTTTTGCAACCATCAGGTATTTAAAACCGAGAATCTTATATGGAGACGCCAGGAAAAAACAAAGCGCTGAACACTAGGTACTGAGCTAAGTATTACATCCAGCTAGACACTATGTCAGCATAGCCAAGGTCTTGTCTGACTGTTTGTTATTATCGATAGATTGATAAGTCCGTATTACAAACACTAGATGAGCCATAAATTGTATTAAATAACCCTTACCTGTGATATTATAAGTAAAATTATTTTCACCTAAAACATCAACTGTAAGAAACATTTTTTACTAATAAAATTTAAACTTAATTTAACCATCAAGAGTACCTAATTTAGCCGGATAGCCGACAAAATACAAGCGTAACACCAACTCTTATTTTTCCTATCACCATAACTATTGGTAAACTAGCAGTTAAAAATACCTCACACAGGGGCGGGCCTAGACAGTGAACCATTAATAGTAGACAATACTCTGGCACAGATTAAAAAAATCCCTAGTCCCATCGCCCTCCAATGTAAATATAGTAAGACCGTGACGTGGTTACACATTGGCTAACCTCCATCTCTTGGCCTCAGGTCTGTCAATAGATTGAAAACTAAGAGAGGCTTATGATGGTACTGTTCACATACGACGAGACAACCTCACACTTATACACACAACTTACTCCTCTGTGTGATGGGACTATGCACATTATCACAACGTCACATTACTACACTCAATCTTAACCCTCCCCCCCCACTGTGATGGAGCTATGCACAATATCACACATCGTCACACTACTTATTACACACTATTTTACTCCACTGTGATGGACCTATACACATTATGACAAAACTTCACACTACTAGACACAACTTTACCCTCCGCTGTGATGTGGCTATTCCCATTATGACACAACTTCATACTACTACACAAAACATTCCTTCTCCGGCTCTAGCGATAAGTAAAACAAAGTAGAGATAAACACAATATATCTCAGCCACTGTGTCGTTGTTTTAAACTTTCCAATTTATCTCAAGAACAAAATGGATCGACGGCCCTTGGGATTTGTCGGCCTAGTGGTGGTGGGGGGCACTGTTTTCACATACATTAGACGGCCCCAGCCTTTACACATAACACGAAGTGAAGGACATTCGCATCTTCTTGGCTACTCGATACATCTATGACAATTAAAAATTCGCCTTAATACATACCGAAAAAACAATAATAAGAATTCATAAAATCCTTCTTGGGGGCCTTCAAGAATGTTGAGTTCTAATAAAACAAAAGGGGGAGAATCCACCTGAGGTACCACGTCAAACACCGCCATCTTGCTTTATATTCACCAGCTAGTTGAACCTCCCAAGTTGTCTGCCCGGCTACACTCAGGTTATACCCAACACAATGTAATCAGCGGTGTTGTGTTTAAATTAACTCCTAATTAATCCCACGGGGTTATTTTTGCCTCTATTGATAAAACATCATGCTCGGCAGGTTGATGTGAAAAAAATCTTCTGATTTAATTAGCATCGTTTTTAAGCGAAAGATTCATTTAAATAATCGAATACTGTATTTATAAATTGATTGTAAATAATTATTTTAAAAATATTTAAAAAACGGAAATTTTCTACATTTGAACAGGTGAAAAAAAAAGCTTCCCTCATTAAAATTGTACAAATGGCTGCCTTTGTTATCTCGCCACCCCCGGGGAGGTGGTCGTGAATGGAGAACACGGACAATGATGTATTTGTGGAGAGTACACCAAGATTTAAACCGGTGCAAGCATTTTTCACGTCAAAATTTAGAGGGTAAGATTTTTAAGGAAGAAAACATGAAGGAGATTTCCAGAGACATCTTATGAAGTTTTAGCATAACATTTTTAACAAATGCTACTTGAGATAAGAGGTAGTTCTAGGACCATTTATCTGAGATATAGAATACTTGGCCAATTTATCTGAGATATAGAATATTTGGCCAATTTATCTGAGATATAGAATATTTGGCCAATATATCTGAGATATAGAATACTTGGCCAACCTGCCTGAGATATATAGAAGAGACGGCCAAATTACCTAAGACAGAGATGGCCAACCTTGCTGAGACAGAGATAGCCAAACTACCTGATATATAGAAGAGATACCCAATCTTCCCAGGGCAGAGATGGCCAACTTACCTGAGATGTAGAAGAGATGGCCAACCTACCTAGGACAGAGATGGCCAACCTACCTGAGATATAGAAGAGATGGCCAATCTACCTGATATTTAGAAGAGATGGCCAACCTACCTGAGATATAGAAGAGATAGGCCAACCTAGCTGAGATATAGAATAAATGGCCAACATACCCGAGACAGAGATGGCCAACCTACCTAGGACAGAGATGGCCAACCTACCTGAGATGTAGAAGAGATGGCCAACCTACCTGAGATGTAGAAGAGATGGCCAACCTACCTGAGATGTAGAAGAGATGGCCAACCTAGCTGAGATATAGAAGAGATGGCCAACCTACCTAGGACAGAGATGGCCAACCTACCTGAGATGTAGAAGAGATGGCCAACCTACCTGAGATGTAGAAGAGATGGCCAACCTACCTAGGACATACATGGCCAACCTACCTGAGATGTAGAAGAGATGGCTCTGGGCCAACAGCAGTTCTGGAGTCCACTCAGCCGGGTTGATGTACACCGTCATCAGGCGCTGCGCGTGGAAGGGTGCCCAGCAGACGAAGAAAGCGATGACCACAGCGACTGGAAGAAAAATAAAAGGTAGATTATTCAGGCGATGACCACAGCCACTGGAAGAAAAATAAAAGGTAGATTATTCAGGCGATGACCACAGCCACTGGAAGAAAAATAAAAGGTAGATTATTCAGGCGATGACCACAGCGACTGGAAGAAAAATAAAAGGTAGATTATTCAGGCGATGACCACAGCCACTGGAAGAAAGAAAAATAAAAGGTAGATTATTTAGGCGATGACCACAGCGACTGGAAGAAAGAAAAATAAAAGGTAGATTATTCAGGCGATGACCACAGCCACTGGAAGAAAAATAAAAGGTAGATTATTCAGGCGATGACCACAGCGACTGGAAGAAAAATAAAAGGTAGATTATTCAGGCGATGACCACAGCGACTGGAAGAAAAATAAAAGGTAGATTATTCAGGCGATGACCACAGCGACTGGAAGAAAAATAAAAGGTAGATTATTCAGGCGATGACCACGGCCACTGAAAGAAAGAAAAATAAAAGGTAGATTATTCAGGCGATGACCACAGCCACTGGAAGAAAAATAAAAGGTAGATTATTCAGGCGATGACCACAGCGACTGGAAGAAAAATAAAAGGTAGATTATTCAGGCGATGACCACAGCCACTGGAAGAAAAATAAAAGGTAGATTATTCAGGCGATGACCACAGCGACTGGAAGAAAAATAAAAGGTAGATTATTCAGGCGATGACCACAGCGACTGAAAGAAAGAAAAATAAAAGGTAGATTATTCAGGCGATGACCACGGCCACTGAAAGAAAGAAAAATAAAAGGTAGATTATTCAGGCGATGACCACAGCGACTGGAAGAAAAATAAAAGGTAGATTATTCAGGCGATGACCACAGCGACTGAAAGAAAGAAAAATAAAAGGTAGATTATTCAGGCGATGACCACGGCCACTGAAAGAAAGAAAAATAAAAGGTAGATTATTCAGACGATGACCACGGCCACTGAAAGAAAGAAAAATAAAAGGTAGATTATTCAGGCGATGACCACAGCGACTGAAAGAAATAAAAGGTAGATTATTCAGGCGATGACCACAGCCACTGAAAGAAAAATAAAAGGTAGATTATTCAGGCGATGACCACAGCGACTGAAAGAAAAATAAAAGGTAGATTATTCATGCGATGACCACGGCCACTGAAAGAAAAATAAAAGGTAGATTATTCAGGCGATGACCACAGCCACTGAAAGAAAAATAAAAGGTAGATTATTCATGCGATGACCACGGCCACTGAAAGAAAAATAAAAGGTAGATTATTCAGGCGATGACCACGGCCACTGAAAGAAACAAAAATAAGAGGTAGATTATTCAGGCGATGACAACGGCCACTGAAAGAAAGAAAAATAAAAGGTAGATTATTCAGGCGATGACCACAGCGACTGAAAGAAAGAAAAATGTTGTTGAATAGAATTACAATATTTTTATAAAATACTTGTGCTTATGTTGGTTTATACATAGATATGGTTCAATGAAAAATGATCTCAGGACAAATATCTGAAGACATGAAATGAACTTGAACAAATGCTCTCACATGTATAAAGATCACAGTGACAAAATATCTCAGGTACAATATCTCACGGCAAAATATAGACTTTATTTTGGAAGATTTTAATCGTTTGAACACTGACTTCGTTATATATATATATATATATATATATATATATATATATATATATATATATATATATATATATATATATATATATATATATATATATATATATATATATATATATATATCCTAAGCACAAATAATTATAGCATTTCTCAACAGATCCTAGGTAATGCTTTAATAATTAGAACATGCCAGGATAGCTTGCCAGTGAACGAGAAACTTATCTTCATGAGCCGGGAAATGTTTCTAAACCTGGCCACTAAAGCTACAGACATGCTCAGACAAAGCTGAGACATCTCGCAGAGGGAAGTTTACGTTCCTGCATGATGAATTACTTCCCCTTCGTTAGTTTAAAAAAAAAACAATAATAAAAGTTTGAACTAAGCCTAACACAGTTTAAGGACATAAAAATCTAGAATACGATTACTCGAAGAAGTAAAAATTTCTGTCTGTTTATCTGTGTGTACTGAGATTTGACGAGTTTTGAGGAACGCGATATCTACAATTTTAGAGGTTTTATCTGCAGATATTTTTCTTATTACCCGATTCATGATAGGTTGAGAACAGTGTTAAAAAAAAGTTTGAGACTGTTGTGCGCCTGTATGTGTATGTGCGGTGTTTCTTTCAGACTTTTTTCTGGGGGGGGGGGGGGCACTTGATATTTTCGGGGGGGGGGGGGGGGGGGGATGGAGAACATTTTTCGGGGAGGGGGCGGACACTGGTAAAAGTATAAGTTTTCTATATACATTCCATTTAGTTCGGGGTAGACTTCCTTCGAGATGCCTGGAAGAAACTCTGTGTGTGTGTGTGTGTGTGTGTGTGTGTGTGTGTTTGTGTGTGTGCGCATGATAGAGTGGCGGAGCCAAAATTATAAGCGGGTGGGGGTATAATTAGTTATGTCATAAGATTTCCAATATCATTAACTCATAGGTATCCTTCTATAAATAACTCTATTACTGTTTAAGGTGTAGCACTTTAGTGTTTCACTGAACACAAAATGATGACCACGTACTTTTAGCAGAGTGGAAATATGGCCGCTACTGTACGGGCCATCACAGCTAGTAATCATGGCGTATGTAATGAAAGCGTTGGCGGCGACCAGTCCAACACAACAGAGCGACTGTATTAAAAGATCGTCCACAGGCGCTGATGGAATTTACACTGCCGCGCTGTGGAGGGCTAGCTTTTAAAAACAACGTTTGATTTATGGTGTGGTAGCCGGTTATTTCCGGCCACCATTAATATTTGCTGATAAACAGCAATCTGCAACCGGAGTTGCTCTGCAACGTGAGACCAGGGGAAGTAAATAACGGAAATGTGAAGTAAGGGACGTAACTAGGCCACATATGTCTTACAAGATTTATCCAGCGATCGTTCTAAAGGGAAATAAGTCTGCTATAATCTCTCAGCCAATCTCAAAAGCTTATTGGGTGGGAGATGATTTTTTTTTAATGCAAAATTCTTTCTATTTATTTTGCTGAAATAGTTTTTATATATAAAATATCGATTGGGACTGGATCGTTGTAGAAGGAAAGCAAATGTAGAACAATTTTGCATTATTAAACAGATTAGAGAGTTTTTTTTACGGTGTTGGTCTCTATGTGCAAGCTAAATGTTTTTTTAATAACAAAATAAAAGAATGAAAAAATAGCGATAGCTATTACGATAAAGACGATGGTGATGATAATAATGAGGATGATGATGATAATTGATGATGGTGATGATGATGATGACGATGATGATTATGATGATAATGATGATTGATTTTGGTGATGGTGATGATGATGATGATGACGATGAAGACGACGAAAATGATGACGATGATGATGACAAAGAAGACAACTATGACGACTATGATGACGATGATGATGATGCCTATATCGACGACAACAATGATTATGATAACGATCATCGCAAAAGATAAACCGATGGTAACAGCATACATAACCCTCAACCACAACCCACTGTATCGATGTTAGTGTGGGCGTGACGACACCGTTTCACCCGTGTATTGTCGCATAGGAGTTAATCCGTTTCAAAATATTCTGGCGCTCAGGGATTTACAACTAGACGAATGGCTTGCGGCGGTAATTAGTCATGTTAATTCTCGTCTGGACAGCAGATCTCCATCTTCCACACGAGATCTTGTTGATAAAAATAAGACACTGAGGTCTAAATAGGGAATGTTTAATAGATTTTTTGTTCCGTTTGTATTTCAATCTATTTGTTGCATTGCTTGTTTGACTAGGATGGCTAGGAATATCGGTAGAGCACATGATTTGTTGTACAGAAAGTCTCGAGTTCGGTTCCATGTCTAGAGTCGGTTGATTGCAACAAAAATCTCAAGATGGCGTATGTTCGAATTGGGGAAAGTGTAAGTATCGGTTTTAGAGCTGGTCCAGTAATCTGATCACGCGGTTAGTGAAACAGATGAACTCTACTTCACCTGGTCTGTGGGCATGAAGGGGTGCAGTACACAACAATTTAATAATAAAGTAAAAATACGTGAGCTTCAGTAAATGAACTTCAAACGCAATATTACATATATTATGTAATACTGAAATAAATAATTGTATATATGTGAGTGCAGATTCCAAACGTTTTGTGGAGTGGACGCCTCGTGCACCCCCTATATCCGCCTGTAGGCGATAGAATATGTAAACATCCCGGACGCTTCATTTGACCTGACTTAGGGAATATTTCAGACCGATTATCTCATCATCTCTAACATTGTTTCAGGTCCCAGCATGCACCTCTAAGACAGCGAGACATCTCATGCCCTGAGACCCGAGACTGTCTCGGTCTGGGCCCGCCCGTCCGTCCGGAACACGAGCGCAAGGGACGCTGGATAAGATGAATGGCCGTCATCCGGGTTTAATCTTCCTTGCACGTTTTCTTAAAGTTTGTCCTGGGCTGAGTGACGTTCAATATAATTCAACAAACGAACTCATTTATTTGACGTTCAAATGTATTTTTTAAAGATGTATAGAAGACATGAAATAATGTATTTTCGCGTACTGAGAAGTTGTTAAAGCCTTAACACGCTCAAAAAAAAAAATTAAAAAAAATTTCAGCAATGTAAATTCAAATTTATATCGAAAAATTGTGTTTAGGACATAAATGAAACTTAAAATAAAATAGCTCAAACCGTTATTTGTTTTCTTATCTGTGTTTTGCTTTAAGTAAGTTTTGAAAAAAATAACAACAATGCGTTTTTTAAAAACATAGATCTATAATTTAAAAACTTTTAAACCTGATTCCGGATTTTTGTCCTGTTTTAAAAATGCCAATTCATCAAACTATTTATAGACCTTTACACAATTGACGTCATGTATTTCAGTTGGAGTGGAAGACGGGGACAGTAAAACATTCAAACAACTCAGCTTTAAAACTCTTGTAATGGCGGCTATCAGGAGAAACACGCGCACAAAAGGTGAGTGCACAGAGGCCGCGCGACTTGGATTGGGTGAGGCCAAGTGTTTGGATTTAGCCTGAAAGCTGCAGGGTGGAGGGGAGGACGGGTGGGGCATGTTTAAAGACAGACGCTCAGCCTTGGATATTGTGGAGGATCTAGTTTTAGGGAGCTGTTGTTCCCTGGCTCATTAGGGGGATTGTGGGAGTGACGCATGCTCGGGGTCAAGCTGACCTTGTCGTCTGGAGAGGCGCTGTAGTTGTTGTGAAGGAAAAGTTGCAGACGTCAGTGGATGTACACGCTGTATGTAAAGGGTGGATGTACACGATGTATGTAAAGGGTGGATGTACACACTATATGTAAAGGGTGGATGTACACACTATATGTAAAGGGTGGATGTACACACTGTATGTAAAGGGTGGATGTGCACACTGTATGTAAAGGGAGGATGTACATGATGTATGTAAAGGGTGGATGTACACACTATATGTAAAGGGTGGATGTACACGCTGTATGTAAAGGGTGGATGTACATGATGTATGTAAAGGGTGGATGTACATGATGTATGTAAAGGGTGGATGTACACACTGTATGTAAAGGGTGAATGTATAATATGCATGTAAAGGGTGAATGTACACGCTGCATGTAAAGGGTGGATGTACAACCTGCATGTAAAGGGTGGATGTACACGCTGTATGTAAAGGGTGGATGTACAACCTGCATGTAAAGGGTGAATATATAACATGCATGTAAAGGGTGAATGTACACGCTGCATGTAAAGGGTGAATGGGAATGAACATTTCAATAGCATAGATATACAGGCTAAAAACTTGAAGCATTGATTGAAATACTACACAGGCTAAAAACTTAAAGCATTGATAAACGTGTGTAGGTCTCCATCATACGAATCCTAGCACAGAAGCAGGAGCATTGACTGACGTTAGAACAGATACATTCATCGCCACGTCAGTCCCCCTTAACTGCCATACGACCTCACCAGGGGCGGAACTACCATACCGCCAGACCCCGCAATGCGGGGGGGGGGCCCAGGACGTTTAGGGGCCCAGTTCCGACCAAAAAACAATGATTTTTTTTTCAAAAATTATGTTTTTCATGCATCTTGAAAGTGGTTTTGTAAAAAAAAAAAACAGGTCTACTATAGCAGAGATTGTTGCCTAGAAAAATATTTTAAAATCTACAAGAGCTATAGTTTGAAAGGTAGGTAAACATTCACACTACTTCCAAGCCTTACTCAACTTACTGCCCTTCTTTAAAATAGGGATGCCCACGAAGCTCATTTAAATAGTTTTGTACTATGTATATTAAAAAGCAATTGATTCTCTGAATTGTTACTTAAATAAGACGTACTATGCAATAGTATGGCTATAAAAATCAATGTTTTCAAAATTGATATTATAAAAGCCAAAAATGAAAAAAATAAACATAACGCGAGAAACCATTCACGAATCAAGCTAACGTCTTTATATATTTTTGACCAGCATGATTATGATACTTTACTAACTCGAAATGAGTGTGGACTAAATTTGTCTGTTTTGGTCACTCAGAATGATTATATATTGCAATGAAGTAGACTAAATTACTCACTTAGGTCTTAGGATATAGATTTTGTATATATATATATATATATATATATATATATATATATATATATATATATATATATATATATATATATATATATATATATATATATATATATAGGGGGCCCTAGTTTTTTCTTTGCGGGGGAGCCTTTGATTTCTAGTTCCGCCACTGGACCTCACTCGCAGGAATTGATTCCATTACAGTTTGAGTATCACTTTCACATTCAGTAAGATTTTAGTATCACTTTCACATTCAGTAAGATTTTAGTATCACCTTCACAGTCATTAAGATTTTAGTATCACTTTCACAGTCAGTAAGATTTTAGTATCACTTTCACAGTCAGTAAGATTTTAGTATCACCTTCACAGTCAGTAAGATACTAAAGAATATTACCACTGTCGACGTAGGACAAAATATCATAAATAGCTAGTACCTATAGATCATTTTTACAGTTAGTTTTGTACTAAAGATCATTAATACCAACAGAAAGATCTTTATTACAGCCTTCGTGTAACTGAGGATTCTTCTAGATATTAACAAAAGAACTATACGTCATCATTACGTGTACAAATATTCCTTATTTTTTTAATTAATTTTTTTTTGTCGATGAAATTTTGCCTCAGCCTGCTGAGGGTTTGAAAACTAATCTGCTATAAATAAAAAAAAATTCATTAAATCTTAATGAACATCGCATCGACCGATTCACTTTTATTTTTATAAACTCTTGAACACAATGGTTTGTTAACTTTCATAAATTCTCACATACAGTGTTTTGTTTCAAGTCACAGACGTATCGGATTAACCCTTATATACTGAATAAAAGCGCCAGCGCTAGACTTCTACATTGATTTATGGCCCATTCTAACTCGCGATTTAATTTATAGTCTTTAGTAACGTCATAAATTTTAAAAAAAAACTATAAAAACATTATTTTTGTAGAGTAATATTTTGATTTCATAGAATATTTTTCATCGTATATTTCACACCGCAACTTTTTGCCAAATTATATCACACTACTTTTATATATATATAACCTACTTCAAATCACATTTCTACGAAACAGCTTTTTCACACCACGTTTCTCTATAGCCTACAACATTTTTTAAACAATGCATACGCAACAAATATTTCACACTACAGTTTGATATATTCTCTCTCATATGTACATACAAGAATAATTTTTGCTGATCCGCACTTTTATTGCAGAAAGTAATCTGAATAACGATTTTTCTACACGATTCATCATTGGAACCTGAGAGGAAATACGTGATAGAGTTTTAAGGCGACTTCACACACAGAACAAAGCCGATGGGAAGAAAGACTAGAAATTAAGCAGAAAAGCCGGCTGGTAACGTTGATACAATCTGAAAGTCTAAGAATTCTATTTAGAGTTTTGATAAATCTTACGCATGAAATCTGAATTCATAATGAATGATTTTATAGATTTGCTAAATCTTGCGGACGTAATCTGAAATTCTTATGAAGTTTTTTTAAATATAGTTTTGATGAATATTTAGCATGTAATCTGAAATCCAAACTAATAGTTTTAGTTTTGATAAATCTTGCTGATATAATCTGAAATCCTAGTGAATATTTTTAGTTTTGATAAATACTGTGAATGTAATCTGAAATTCTAACAAATATTTTTAGTTTTGATAAGTCCTGCACATGTAAACTGAAATTCTAATGAATGTTTTTTTTAGAGATTTACTAAGACTAAATGTTAACACATTCAAATAGTGCTCCTTTTTATTTGTTACTTCAAGAAATAAATTATAAAAATATCTCCAACGATGAAGTGAATTGTTTCGAAGTAAATGAAGAAGATAAAACATGTGTCATGGACACGTTAGTCCAAGGTAAAATGGTTACAAATTACGTATTGAATTTTTTTTTTCAATTTAAAGTTGTATATTGGCTGGTGAGAAACCAAATCAGGTGCGTGTCACTCACATGTCATGTCATTACCATCTGAAATGAAATCTTCCCCAAGCTTCTAGTCTTTTTACTTTCTCGTATATACGAAGTATAGAGAAAGTATTGTAATCGTGCAAAAAAAAAAATCGAGATTTTTACAAATCTCGACGTTTTACACCTCACTGATACGGAAAAACATAATTTTGCAATCTTGTCCGTATGTCTGTGTGTCTGTCTGTGTGTGTGTGTCTGTCTGTGTGTAAACACGATAACTTGACTACCGTTAGAGCTAGGTTGATGAAATTTCATATATAAGTATTTTATCAAAATCGTTGATAGTGATCAACTTTTGAGCGATTTCCAATAACCGGAAGTGGTACTTTTTCTACTTTGAATTTTTCAAAAGCCGTTAACTTGAGTACTGTTTCAGATAGATAAATGAAATTTCACATGTAAGTAAAATATCTAATTCTCTGCCTTCTCAAATTTTGAGTAATTTCCGTTGACCGGAAGTACTAATTTACGCTATTTCCGATATTTCTAAAAACGCATTTAAATTTATAAAGTACTAATAATATTGCGCACTATTATGCACATTTTGTTTTGGCGTTCGCTTGGTGCGCAATTCTTTTTTCTATGAGATTCTTATCTATTTTTAAAAGTTTTAGTAATTAAAAATCATGTCTATATTCCGAGTTATTAATACTAATAGTTTCGCTGTCTGTCTATGTATCTATCTGACAAGATAGATGTATCTATGTATCTATCTGACAAGAACGCTGTAGAGAAAACACAAGCAAAATAAAAACATGCACAGTAATTCGAAAAACGAAGTATGACGTCGCCACATTTAGCATCTCAAGCCGGAGAGTGCACACAGTAATATGACGTCATTGATTATCGAGTAAACATTGAATAACAAGGAAATTTTGTCTAATCTAAGTGGTTTGCGTGAAGAGTTTCTTTCATACAATTCTTCGGGTAGGGGCGAAGCCCCACCCCCGCGTAAGAACGTCTGAGCCCCCCCCCCCCCTCCCTAACTCAAAAGAAATTTCTTCATCGATACTCTATAATAAAATTACCGCCTAATTAATGTGTCTAATCTAAAAAGTGGTTTTCTTGCAATTTCTTTAATGCAATTCTTCGGGTGGTGGCTAAGCGCGACACCAGTGTTTCTTTCAGACTTTTTCCTCCCCGGAGAGGGGTGGGGGTACTTGAAATTTTCGGGGGCGGGGGTAGAATTTTCGGGGAGGGGGCGTACACTGGAAAAAGTATATAATTATATTTCGTTGAATGGGACGGTAGACATGTTTTTTTGGGGGGTGGGGGTGGGGGTGGGGGTGGGGGGGGTGTGTGTGTTTTTGGGGTGGGGGTGGGGGTGGGGGTGTGTGTTTTGGGGGGTGTGTGGGGGGGGTGGGTTGGTTTTAGTTTAGAGAAAAGAGACAGCACTATCAACCTAGCGCCCGGTGTATCCTTCCTCAACGGGCCATTTTTCTCGTTTAATACTAATAGTTTCGCTGTCTGTGTATCTATCTGACAAGAACGCTCTGTCTGTCTATCTGACAAGAACGCTCTAGAGAAAACACAAGGAAATTA